CAATGTGCCTTTGCATGGGTCCCGCTTCTCCCTCTGGGGCCAAGCAGGCCTCATTAGAATCAATCCAACCCTTCTTCTCCAGGACAGGTCATGGCGCATGCTCAGGAAGTGTTTGTTTCCACAGCTGAATTAGCCAACTGTGATCAAGGCTTCCCTTTCTTAAGTCAATTTTCCCCCTAGGGCTAATATTCCCAATTTCTTCGAGCTGCTGTCTGTGTGGCTCAGATTCCAGACCCCTCACTCTCCTTAGGTGGGTGTCACCCATCTCACTCCACCCCCAACCATTTCTCAGTTTTCAGGTAACAGGAAATTACATCAAAGGGAAGAAAGCACAGTCCAGTGGATAGTCCATCTGATGAAAGCCAGCTAAAGGCCTTTCCTTCTGGAAAGTACATGGAAATGATGGCGGGAAATAGAGTGAAGGGGAACTAGAGCCTTCTCCTCTGTCTTCCTGTTTCTCACACTGGGACAAAATTTCTACCTCCCACCTTTCCAGACAGCACAATGACCTAAGCTTTCCAGGACTCGTTAAGTCCTTCCTTGATTAAGGTCATGGTGTCTTCCAGGAGTTGGACCAATCAGATCATATTCATTTTCTAAGTCTTGAACATCAAACAAATATTGATTTTTTTTCACCAAACTATGCAATAATCAGTCGTTTTTTTTAAAAAAAAAAGACAAGACCTCTTTGTCTTCCAATGCTGCTGAACCAAAGCACCAAAACACCCTCCTGCCCAGCATTCACATTTCATCTCCTACCCCGTGCTTTGCCCCCTTCTTCACCTCTGTCTCTTAAAGGTTCTCAAGGCCAAATTCACATGCCATATCCTAGAGGAAGCCTTTTTCTGATCTCCCCCTCCCCTCCCAACTGTCGGGCTCTCTCCCTCCTCAGATTATCATGTACGTGCTTGTGTGTCTATGTATTTTGTACCCTTACAAGAGAATGGAAGCTCCTTGAGGGCAGGGAATTTTTTTTTGTCACCGTATCCCCAGCACGTAGTTCAGTGCCTGACGTGTAGAAGGTGCTTAATAAATGCTTTTTGACAGATTTTCTTGGTCACAATAAGTACATAACAAATGTTCATGGACAGATTGCATTGATCATAGGAGATGCATAATAAATGCTTGTTGGATTGGGTTCAGTTTTGCCTGTGTAGCAAGGGCTTGGCCAGCGGGAACCCTGCCATCCCAGCATGCTGTGCAGCTGTTGCAGTCCATGTAGAAGAGCCTGAGAAGTTTGTTTCTGGACAGATTTGATGATGTGTCCTGGATCCCTTTTGGAAGCATGCACAGACATTCTAGAATTCTAAGAAGGGTTATGCTAGAGCCAACTTGAACTGACTCAGAAGGGCTGATTGTTAAATTTTCAGTGTTAGCCTTTAAACCTTAGAAATTGGCAACTGTTCCAAATCAGGGCCTGATTTACTGTTTTGTTGGTTGTCTAGACTTAAGAAAATGATGGATAAGATACCAATAATGCAGATTAAAATTAAAAAGGGGTTGTGAGTACACATACCCCCTCCAGAGCCTATGGTTAAACACTGACGAGCACAGCTGATTCTAACCATGTGATGAAGAGACTGTTGATGAGATATTGAACTGGAACTGGGGTGAATTTAAAGGCACTAACTGGTGAAAGGGAGTTTGTTTTTCTTACTGGTGAGAAGAAAAAGATCAGAGGTGAGGAATGGGATACTGTATATTAGGAGTATATGTAAATGATTCAGCCAGCATACAGCTGGACCACAGAGTTGGCAGAGGAAAATAATAAGTAAAGAAACTGGAAATATGAGAGAGTTGGATTGGGAAGAGCTTAAAAATTCAAGCAGAGGACTCTATGCTTGAGCCTAGAGGTGAGAGGGCGCCATTAAGAGTTTACTGAGTTGGGGGGTGGACCACTGGGTCATTGTTGTTCGTCTTTCTTTCTCAAAGAGGACCATGACATCAGGAAGATGATGCCATGACTTGCAAGTGATTTGGATTTAAGTGAGACAGGGTTGTGCAATGTCATCAACTTCATTCTTTCCTATGGAGCTATCTAGGTCCAGTGGAACTATATGGATCAAGATGACTGGAGATGGCCCTGGATGATTTGTGGGTATGACGTACACTTACATGTGAGGAAAATCCCTTCGGCAACTAGGTAGAGGATGGCTTGGAGAGCGAGTAGATTGGAGGCAGGAAGTCCAATCATCCAGGCAAGAGGTGATGAGGGTCTGAATGAGGGTGGTAGCTATGGGAGAGGAGAGAAGGGGATGTAGTTGACAGATGTGAAGAAAGAAACGACAAGATCTGGTAACTGATTGGTTATATGGGGTGAGAGAAAAAGGATTCAAGGAAGATGCCAAGTTTGTGAACCTGGGTAGCTGGGAATACAGGGGTACTCTTGACAGTAATAGCGAAGTTTAAAAAAAAGAGGAGGGTTGGGAGCGGGGGGAGGATAATGAGTCGTATCATAGACACATTGACTGTGAAGTGTCTACGGAACATCTAGTTTTGAGTTATCCGAGAGACAGTTGGTGATTAGGGGAGTGGAGCTCAGAAGAAAGAATAGGGCTAGAAAATATAGATCTAGGGTCATCTGCTTAAGAGATTGTAACTGATACCATGGAAGCTAATGATGTTACCAAGTGAGAGAATACAGAGAAAAGAGAAGAGGGTACAGGACAGAGACTTGGGGACACCCCAAGAAGAACCAGCAAAGGAGAGTAGTGAGTATGAGTAATCAGACAGGTAAGAGGGGAATCAAAGAGAGCTAAGTCAATGCAATCCAGAGAGCAGGGAATATCCAGGGAAAGGTGGCTTCTGGTGCTGCAGAGAGGTCAAGGGTGAGGAGTGAGAAAAGAGCGTTAGATCTAGTGATGAAGAGATCAACAGTGACTTCGGACAGACAGCAGTTTCAGTTAAAGGGTGATGTAGGAAGCCAGGGGTTGGAAAAGAGCAAGAGAAGAAGAAATAGAAACATCGACTGTAGAGAGCTTTATCAAGGCGTTTGGCTGAGAAGGTGGAATAGAGATATAGGATGATAGTTAACGGGCACGGTAGAAACTAGTGAGGCTTATTTTAGGCTGGAGAAGACTTGGTGTGTTTGTAGACCGCAGGGAAGGAATCAGTAGCTAGCGAGGGGTAAAGTCAATAAGCTTTTACTAAGTGTCTACTATGTGCCAGAGGTTGAAGATTAGCAAAATGATAGGGTGATGACAGGAAGCAATCTGCTGAAGGAGACGGGAAGGCATGGCACCAAGGGTATGGATAGAGAGCTTGGGTTGGCTTTGCCAAGCAGAAGGACTACTCAATAAAGACCAGAGTGAAGGAGGAAATGGTGATGGATGACATCAGAACAACGTGAGGCGAGGAGCAGGGGAGAAGAGAGAGCTCAGGGGGACCTCGGTTTTGTTCTAGGGGAAAAGCGGCAGAGTTCTGGAGTCAAGGGTAGGGACTCAGGGGTGACTCTGGGTTCTTAAAGGCTATACCAGCAGGCTGCAAACTCTGCCAAGTCCCACCAAATGGGAAAGGGCTCGGTTGTGATGGCTGTCATCCAAGTCCTGACCCAGTTATATTCAGATAGACTCATCCTCAACTTGACTGAATCTGACAAATGTTTTGCCACAGCAACTACATTCTACAGGAGTTGGTTGTGTCCTTTATCAGTGGAGAGGAGATCTATAGGCACAATTATAGCTCACTGAAACGTAAGTGAAGTCAAAGGCAGGTGAGTGATAGGGTGCCCCCGCCCCCACACACACAATGAGGAGAGAACAGGAGGACAGCTTTAAAAGTCACATGTTGAATTTAGGATCTACTTTAAAAAAGAGTGAGCTCTTTATTTAACAGAGAGTTTCAGTTTCATTTGTAATACTTTTTTTCTCTTCCACAATATGTTCTTTTTATTTGTTATTTATCAAGTTCAGGATAAAAACAATAAAATGGAAAAAACGGACCTAGTGTAACACCTTAACATTTTATGTAGCTTACGTTAAACTGAAAGTTTCCTCCCTTCGACTTTTGTTCTTTCTCAGTTCTGTCTTCTAGGGCTGAGTAGATAAAGAGGGTTAAACTCCTTCTCCATAGGCCTTTTTCTTCTTCAGGGATTTGCAGACAGGGGACAAGTGCTTTGGTAAAGTCTCCCCTCTGCATAGAACTGGCCCTCTGAGCTGGGGAAGTGCTCCTCCTACTTGTCTGGCTCTGATAAGACTTTCCCTCCCTTTCTCCTGACCCAGATGAATGGTCTCTGTGAGTCACAGCAGTTCACAGCCAGAACGTGGAGAATGGCCAGAAAAGAAGAAGGAGAGGAGGAGGATCCAGAGGTGGATGAGGGGGAGGGAGCGGGGAAAGGCTTTTCAGCTTTATCAGAGGGACAGGGCACTACTGCTCCCCATTCCCTTTAGGCCTGGGGAGGACATTAGGCAAGGAAAGAAATCTTTGTTTTGTTTCTCTGACAAGCCAAGATGGAGAAATTGGATCCATTTTCTTGGAATGCACATGGCAGGTAGGTAGGTCGAGACAGATTACTCCGCTGGGCTGAACCTTACTTCACATCATGACTGGTATAATGAAGTCTGAGCACCTGGAATCTCTATTTCAAGAGAATCTGAAATCAGCAAAAAACAAGTCCTTTCCCTACCATCCCATTCCCCTCAAAAGGATGAGGCTGCCCCCAGAGCCCTGACATTTTTCTGGAGAAGTTTCACTTCTCAAGTATCTGTAATACTTCTGTATTTCTGTAAAATCTGCAAACTATTTCTTTTTTTTTATTTTGGTTAGGCAGTGGGGTTAAGTGACTTGCCCAGGGTCACACAGCTAGTAAGTGTTATGTGTCTGAGGCCAGATTTGAACTCAGGTCCTCCTGAATCCAGGGCCAGTGCTCTATCTACTGTGCCACCTAGCTGCCCCCAAACTATTTCTCAAGTATCTGTGATCACAGAATGTCAGAACTAGAAAAGGACCTACCTATCAATTAACAAACATTTTTCCATGACTTTTTAAAGAAGTCATTTAAGAAAATCTATTTTCTTTCTCTCCCACTCCTCAAACCACTGGAATACAGAAAAGAAAAAAAAAAACAATCCCTTGAAGCCAGTATGCCTACTCAAGCAAAATCAGTTTCTGGATTGGTTTGGTCTCAGATGCGTCTTGTTCTGTGCCCCAAGTCCATCGACCCTCTGTCTGGGGGTGGGTCACATTTCTTCCCCATTGGTCCTCTGGAATCAGGGATGGCCATTGTACTGATCTGAATTCTTATAATTTTTAAAGTTGTTTCTGTCTCTATAGTGTTGTTATTGTAGACATTGTTCTCCTCCTGTGCCTTCTCAGAATGCCCGCAGGCCTGGAGTCCTCCACCACTTGACTGGCTCACAACTGAAAGGCCTTCACTGATGGACCAATTGTTCTTTTCGTGAGCAGCACAGAAGATGTAATTGGATATTCTTAACCAATCGTAAGATGTTTCTTGTGAAACATCATCTACCTTCCATCCAAATGTTCAAAAGTCCCATGATCCTTTCAAATTGACTAAGAGTTTATCCACACATTGAGACAAGTTGATAGCAAAATTTCTCAACACCAAGTTTATTCTGTTGGTTGGCTGACTGGTGGAGAAGTAGAATCCCACTCTCACACAGGTATAAACCCAGATGGGGTCACGAATACTCAGACGTGACTGAAAACGACTGAACAGTAACAAACCTTGGCGGGGAAGCCACCAGACTCTGGGGGGAGTAAGAAAGGTCTCCTCCTGCAGGTGGTCTTTGAGCTGAGTCTCAAAGGAATTTGAAGGGATTTTAAGAGGTGCAGGGGAGGAGGGAGAGCATTCCAGGGACAAGGGAATCGGGGAGGAGGCCTCGAGTCTGCAGACTCCATTCACTGTCCTTTTTGGAACATTAGGATAGCATGTGTCCTTCTTCAGTACTTCGGTGCCGCTCCCACTCTCCACAGTATTTCAAAGATCACTGCAGTGACTAGGCAGCCTCATATGGCAGCATCCCAAGGCTCTCATTTTCCAGTATTCCAGGCAATTCTTAGGGTGCTTGGGTGGGGGAAAGGGAAGAAGCGGATGGAAGCATGGAACAGATTTGGAGTCAGTGGGCTGAGTTCAAATCCACTTCTTTCTTGTAGTACCTGTGTGGCTCTGGGTAACTCACTTAAACTCTCTGGGCTTCAGTCTCCTCATGTGCCAAATGACAGGGTTGCACAAGGCCCCTCCCCTTACATTCGTCCCAGGTTTAAATCTATCATCCTCATTGTCTCTGTGTGGAAACCTGTTCACACCCACCATGTTCTGCATAATCTTTTAAAAACATGAGTTGGTTGACCAGCTCCTCACTAGCCACTTCATTCTCCTCTTTCCCAAGAGAATGTTTAATTCATTACTTCAGAGGTCTTCTTTCTGGAGAGATTTTCATCCCTCCTGAGCCATCGGGTCTTACCTATCTGAGCCCTCTGACACCTGCTCTCCCAAAATATAGAATCGCCAATGTTGCAGGTGTGCAGAAAGTCTCAGCAGCCGCCGAGGCCAACTCCACTTTCAGACACTCAGCAAACATTTATCCAGCCTTGGCCTGAGCTTGTCAAGATTAAGACCACCTTCGTCTCTTTCTCTTTCAAATATCCAGTAATAGAAAGTCGACCTCTTCCCAAGCTTCCCATCATTTCCACATGAGCATCCAGATCTTCCTTAGGGGTGCAAATCAGGTTCAAAATGGCAGCTTCCTTCAGTGGACAGCAGTTAGGAGAGCCAGAATCTAGGCCCAGCTGGGGCACCAGACACATCACTGTATGGGTGGCCTTGGGCAAATTACTCTCCCTCTCTCAATCGTAGTTATCTTCAGCTATAAAAACAGGGAATTAGACTAGATTATAAGGTTGCTCCCAGCTGTAACATCCTATGTTATTTTTTACCAATATTCTATGGGTTCTATATAGGGTCTAATATTCTATGTTCTATGTAAGTTCTACTTCTAACCTTCTGTGTTCTAAAGTTCCTTTTGATGAGATTAACCAGGCTAGACTGGAAACTCCTTGAGAGCAGCACTTCTTGGGTCTTTTATTTCTTTTGTACGTCTCCATAACTCTGAGTAAAGTCTTCTGAATACAAAAGACAGAAAATAAATAACAGTAGCAAATGTTCCTGAGTGGCAGGCTTAACCAAACAGGTTCTTTCAAAATCAGCTAGGGCTAATGTCACACACACACACACACACACACACACACACACACACACACACACACACACACACACACACACACACACGGAGTTTTCCTGCCCCTTTCTGGTGAGTCACTCCTTCTATCTGTCCATCGCCACCCTCCTGCATCCTGTCCCAGGAAGGTGAGTCTCTCAGTTTCTCCAGATGAAGCCAGTATCAGGTTCACCACAGGAAAGACGAACTGGAAGTGGGATGACCAGGCTCTGAACTGTTGGGGCTGCCCAGTCCGGGTGGGGAGGGAAAAGTAGGAGGGAGAAACCTATGTCTCATGCTTCTGACTCCAGGTACCTGGGGGAGGCTGGCTTTCACCGTCATCCTGGTTCACAGCTACCAAGATCAGTCTGTAGTGAAGTAACACATGGGCACAGCCAAACTTTGGAGCTGGAAGTGGCTTTATACAAGACAGTGCAAGAACACAGAATGTCAGACATGGAAGGGAACATAGATCATAACATGTGACTTTAAAACATATACCTAGAACTTAGAATGTCAGAGGTGGGATGGACCTTAGAACATAAACTGTCAAATCTGGGAGGAACCTTGGGACGTTGAATGTTTGAACATATCTAAGGATTGGGAAGGGCTTTAGAATATATACCTAGAACTTGGAATATCAAAGCCATAAAGAGACCATAGAGATCATAGGATCCAACTCTTATTTCATACTTGGGGAACTGCGTAAGCCCCCCCTGGTGCCTCAGTGGGGAGTCAGGAAGATCTGAGTTCCAATCTCTCCTCAGACGTTTACTAGCTGTGTGACCTTTGGTTACTCACTAAACTTGTCTGCCTCAGTTTCCTCATTTGTAAAAAGGGGATAATAATAGCACCTGCCTCTCAAGATTGTTGTGAGGATCCAAGGAGATTATATTTGTAAGGTGCTTAGCACAAAGCCGGGCACATAGTAGGTGCTTAATGTACTTAATTCACTTCCTAAAAGAAAAAATCCTAACAAGCCAGTGACAAAGCCAGGACTAGGATCTCCTACAGGCTGTGCCACATACCAGCCAAGTCACCCTGGACAAACCCTATCCCTACTGAGCCTCAGTCTTCTCGTCTGTAAAATGGGATTAACACTATGTGCAACCCTATCTCGTAGGGCTGTTCCCCGGATCACGGGAGCACAGACTGGGAGCCGGAAGGGACCGGAGAGATCGCTCAGCCCAAACGCGTCATTTACAGATGGTGCTTCTACAGCGGCGCCTGGCAAAGCAAAATGACTCGACCAAAGGTCACAGCTTCCGAAGCCCTTTAATTCAGGCCTCTCATTTTACTGATGAGGAAACCGAGGCCAAGGAGGGCCAGTGACTTTCCCTGTGTCCCACAGAGAGCAGGGATCAGAGGCAGAATTTGAACCTGGCTCCCCCAGCTCTGGGTCCCAGGCTCTACCTGTTCTGCTAAGGAGAGAAGGCTTACTTTATGGATCTTAAAGCAGTAGAAATTAGTTGCTGTTGCTGTTGTTCTTTAATTCAGCAAGTATTTATTAAATGCCTGCTATGTGCAAGTCACTGCACTGACTGTGAGGATATGAAAATGACGAATGACACAGCCCCTGCCTTTAAGGACCTTGCAGTCTGGTAGAAGATGAAAAATACCGCCCCCCCCAAACCCCGTAATAGCACTTAGAAAACAGGGAAGTGCAAAAGGGCAGAGAGGCCCGAGGAATTCGAGGCAAGGATACTAATTAGCATCCAAAGCACTTCACATAAATTTTTTAATTTGATCTTCATAACAACTCTGGGAGACAGGTGCTATTATCATCACTATTTTTACAAGGGAGGAAACTGAGGCAGACAGAGGGTAGATGACTCAGCCAGGGTCAGTCAGTAAATATCTGAGGCAGCATTTGAACCCAGGGCTTCCTGACTCCAGGTCCACCCTCCTATCCACTATACGACTAGCTGCCCGTGGGAAAGGATTCACTTCGAGCTGAAGCGTTCAGAGGAGGCTTCGCAGAGGTGGTGGCCTCTGCAGCAGGACTTGAACAAGGAAATCATACCAGCGAATGTTTGCCAAGGAGTGAGCAAGGTGGAGAGTCAGCATGAAATAGAGGAAAGAGAAGAGATTCTGGGTTCAAATCTTGCCTCTGTTACATACTATTTTGGTGACTTTGTGTTGGTCACTTGACTTTCCTAAGTCTCAGTTTCCCCATATGAAAAATGACCCTTAAGTCCTAGGAGTCAGTTCCTTGTTTGTTTGTGTGTATGTGCGTGCGCGCGTGCGAGGCAATAGGGGTTAAGTGACTTTCCCAAGGTCACACAGCTAGTACATACCAAGTGTTTGGTCTGAGGCTAGATTTGAACTCAGGTCCTCCTGACTGCGGGGCTGGTGCTCTATCCACTGTGCCACCTAGCTGCCCCACAGGAATCAGTTCCCCGCAGTGTAACAACAACAACAACGGTTAACTTATATAGTGTTTACTAAAATCACAGAGGAAGGAGGCAAGTCAAAATTAGGAGAGGGGGAAGGGCCAATTTGACTACAGGTGTAGACTAGATGAAGGGGAAGAATGTGACAGCAGGCTGGAAAGGTAGGTTGGAACCAGATGTGGAAGGCCTATGCTTGCAGTGTTCAGGTGGCTCAGGCCTGGGGAATGGGCCAGGACTGGGACAGGGGAGCCTCACAACCCCAATACACCGGTCCTGACATGGCCAGAGTGAAGTCCTTGAAATCACCTGGTTAGGAGTACTTCTTGGGTTCCTGTCCATGGGTCTGCCCCAAGGCGGTCACAGGCTCAGGTTAATATTCGACTGGCAGCATTCTGATAGGACAGCTTTAGGATTGGCCCTAATTGGTTAGTGGTATGTGAATGTCAGGATGGAGTATGACCACATTCCACAGGGTCAGAGTGCTTCGGATTGAGCTGTCATGGTTGGCTGCTCTTGCAAAATCATGGATCAGCTGCATAAAACAGACTGCAGTGGGACAAGAAAAAAGGAGGTTTTCCAGGCTGTAGCCTTGAGGAAGCAGGCAGGTGTGGAAGGAAAACAGGATTTGGAGTCAAATAACCCTAGGTCAAAGCCTAGGTCTGATACTTATGGCCCATGTGACCTCAGGAAATCCCTTCTACTCTCTGGGCCTCAGTTTCCTCATCTATAAAATGAGGGAGTTGGATTAGATGGCCTTTAAGGCCCCTTTCATACTTCTGCCTACAATTCTATTACCCAGGTTCAAACCCCACCTCCGCTGATCTACTACCTGGGTGCCCCTGATCGAATCACCTAAGCCCTCCCATGCTCCACACTGATAAAATGAGGGAGTTGTCTGGCAGGACCTATAAGGTCCTTTTCATTCCTAATTCCAAGATCCTACGACTGAGCCTCATCTGACAGGTGACAGCCCCAGAAAGAGGCCAGATGAGCCCAGATGATACCAAATCACCAGGCAGAGGTTTTCTAGGTTTTCACTTCTTCTTTGAAGCCTTCTCTGATTTCCCCAGTCAAAGATGATCTCTGCCTCCTAGATTACCTAAATAACTTGATGCCTTTCTTATGTGTTTACCATTTTTAGAAACGCAGTATAGTTTTCCTAATATTAAAGCAGCCCTGCACATAAATATAAATCCCAAATGATCAAAGTCTATGAGCCTTGTGGTATATTGCTGCAACCTCCTTGCTACTGTTTTATTTAAAACTTTTGCATCGATGTTCATTAGGGAACTTGGTCTACAGTTTCCTTTTTCTGTTCTTGCTCTTCCTGGTTTAGGCGTCAGCATCATATTTGTGTTGTAAGACAAAATTGGTAAGACTCCTTTTTTTGCCTAGTCTTCCAAATAGTTTATATAGTGCTGGGATTATTATTTAAATGCTTGGTAGAATTTATCTGTGAATCCATCTGGCCCTGGGGACTTTCACTTAGGGAGTTCATGGATACCTTGCTCAATTTCTTTTTCTAAGATGGAGTCATTTAAGTATTCTATTGTTTCATCTGTTAATCTGGGCAATTCACATTTTTTTTTTGTAAATACTCATCCATTTTGCTTAGATTGTCAGATTTATTTACATTTAATTGCTTTAATTTTCTCTTCATTAGTGGTAAATTCATCCCTTTCATTTTTGATACTGGTAATTCAGTTTTCTTCTTTTCTTAAAAAAAATCAAATTAACCAATGGTTTATCTATCTTATTGAGGTTTTTCCTCTATAAAATCAGCTCCTAGTTTTATTTATTAGTTCAATGGTTTTCTTTCAATTTTATTAATCTCTCCTTTGATTTTTAGGATTTCCAATTTGGTGTTTAACTGGAGATTTTTAATTTGTTCTTTTTCGGTTTGTTTTTTTTTTCAGTTGCATTTCCAATTCATCGATCTGCCCTTTTTCTATTTTATTGATGTAAACACTGAGAGATACAAGTTTTTCCCTAAGCACTGCTTTGGCTGCATTCCATAAATTGTGGTATGCTGTATCATTGTTGTTATTCTCTTTAATGAAATTATTGATTATTCCTGTGATTTTTTTCTTTGACCCACTCATTCTTTAGGATCAGATTATCTCGTTTTCAATTAATTTTTAGTCTGTCTTTGTATGGCCCTTTAATGTAATTTCTATTGCATTATGATCTGAAAAGGGCACATATCATATTTCTGCTTTTCTGCATTTGTGAGGATTTTACGCCTTAATACACAGTCCATTTTTGTGTAGGTACCATGTACCTACTGCTGAGAAAAAGGTATGTTCCTTTCTATTCCCATTCAATTTTTTCAGAGGTCTATCATATCTAACTTTTCTAAAATTTTATTCATCTCTTTAACAACTACTTCTTCTTCTTCTTCTTCTTCTTCTTCTTCTTCTTCTTCTTCTTCTTCTTCTTCTTCTTCTTCTTCTTCTTCTTCTTCTTCTTTTTTGTTGTTAGATTTATCTAGTTCTAAGAAAGGCAAGTTGAGGTCCCCCACTAGTATGGTCTGAATGCAGACTGAAACATACTCTTTTTTACTTTTTTTTTTCCATGGTGGGTTTTTTTTTTTGGTCTGTGTTTTGTTTCACAACATGACTAATATGGAAATATGATTGCATGATTGCACATGTATGACCTGTATCAAATTGCTTACCATCTCAGGGAGAGGGGAGGGGAGGAAGGGAGGGAGAGAATTTGGAACTCAAAATTTAAAAAAAATTGGTTTTTACATGTAATTGGGGAAAAATTATTTAAAAAAATAAAAGAAAGCCAGTATAATGTGATTGATTCGTTAACCAAAACTGACCCCAAAGAAGAGATGAAAAAATGAACCTCCTCTGTTCTTTTCAGATGTGGAGGACTATGGATGTGGGACACTGCACATGTTGTGAGATTTAGTTTTGCTAAATGGATTTTTTTTTCTTTTTTATTCCTTGTTATAAGGGCTGGCTGCATATGGGGAAAGAACACATTCACAACTAAGTGATACACCGAAAATATC